GAGGGTGAGTGTGGCTGAAGAAAACCCTGTCCCTTTATCATGGCGAAAATCGGTCGCTTATATGAATTTGATGTCTCTCAACCGGAGAAATGGGAATCTTACGTTGCAAGGGTGGAGACTTATTTCCGCGTGAATCAGATAAGGGAAGATGGACTAAAGGCTGCCACAATGTTGTGCGTTTGTGGGCAAGACGCCTTTGAGATCGCCGAGAATCTAGTCGCCCCGGCCTCGCTAGAAACTGTTTCATACTCTGATCTAAAGAAATTTTTGAAAGAACACTTCCAGCCCAAGCAATCTGTTATTGCTTGGAGGCACACATTTGAATCGAGAGATCAGCGAGCTGGGGAATCAGCAAAAGAATTTATTGCAGCCTTGAGAAGAGCAGCTAAACCGTGCAAGTTCAAGGATCTATAAGAAAGGCTGCGCGATCGTTTTGTATGCGGACTGAGGAACAGAGACTTACAGCAGAAGCTGTTTGCTAAGGAAGATGTCTCTTTCCAAGATGCTCTGCGAGAGGTTACGGCAGAGGAAGCTGCAGGCGGAGCGGTAAAGAATCTGCAGCCCACTCGAAGCGCTCCAGAGACTGCAACCATCCACAAGGAGGACGTGCGGGAGGACTCGGAAGAGGATCCTGAAGATGAAGTGGACAAGCTTTATCCAGCCGGAAGGAGGCCAAAAGATCGTCCGGACAAAGGTCCAGCTGAGCTTCGATGCTTTGGATGCGGAGGTCGCCACAAGTGAGCGGAATGTCGGTTCCGTTCCGCCATCTGCCGAGCATGCGGCAAGAAAGGCCACATCGCTGCGGTTTGCCTGGGTCAACAGAAGGTACAACCGAAGGAAGAATTGAATCTGAAAGGTACCAGGGTCCCCAGCCAAAACAGGGTGGGTTTCTGTGCAACATGCAGAAATATATTAAGAATAGGCACACACAAACCCCTTAAAAAGAAATTGTCCCTTAAAGTAAGACTGCAAGGAGTTCCATTGTCTATGGAACTAGAAACGGGGTCTGCCCTATCCATAATTTCCCTCAACACATTTCACAAAATCTGCAGCAGCAGTGGCCAGCGAGCTTTGCTCAGGCCTTCTAATGTAATTCTTACTGATTTTCAAAATTCCAAGGTGTGCGTTAAGGGGGAGGCCACCCTTAAGGTACAGTATAAGAATTTTGAAGGCCCCTTAGACGTGCTGGTTGTTGGGGGTGAGTGCACGAGTCTGATTGGACTCGATTGGTTTGAGGCTTTAGGAATCCAGGTAACAGGGCTGCACAAATTGCAAACAGAGACCCTAGCAGGCATCTGCAAGGAGTTTGCAGATGTGTTCAGCTCTGAGCTAGGATCCTACAAGGGACCTCCAGTTTCACTAAAGCTGGATCCAACTGTACAGCCAATAAGGATTAAACCTAGGAGAGTACCATTTGCTCTTAAGAGTAAAATTGATACTGAACTGGACAAGTTGCTCCAGCAAGGCATATTAGAGCCTG